GCTTAGAAAACCTACTTATTAAAATGAGTACAGTGAAAGAATGTATGCTGACGAACACTTCTGGCCACTCAACCCTGGAAGAACTACAAGGTTTTATTGATAGATCATATCAAAATGCAGATAACTTAGAAAACCTACTTGTTAAAACGAGTACAGTGAAAGAATCTACGCCAATGAACACTTCTGGCTGCTCAACCCTGGAAGAACTAGAAGGTTTTATTGATAGATCATATCAAAATGTGTTCCCACAAAACGGCAAAATATCCTTTCCGCAATCTATTGACAGTTCAACCCCTTTTAGGTTGCGAACTGTAGATAGTGTGGCTTCTATAGCGGAACAGTTTAATAAGTTAAAGGAAAATGTAGAGTTCACAGTGGCATCTTTGATAAAATTACAGAGCAGTCCCAAATCACTGATGAAAACAAAGAGGAGAAATATGTAAATTGACCGATGTCAATTTGCATTTGGAATCACACGTAGCTAAATTAAAGGGAAAAAAATTCCCAAAGGATGAATCTATTATTTTAATTAATCCCAATGAAAATATTAACATCACCCACAATAAACAAGAAAATAAACCCCAACCAGCAGTTTCTACTGAACTTAATAAACTTAAACATGGCTATCCAACCACTACATCACAGAATGTTGAACCTAAAGTTGCACCACCAAACGCTACCCCTGTTTATTCTTCACACCACCTTGGGCCTCTAAATAATACGAAAAAAGTTAGAACCTCCAAATTTTTGAAAAGGCAATAAATACTATTGCATGAAGGGCCCTAGATGTGACTTCTTGCATAAAAATGCAGCAAATCCTACTAAAAGGCCTCCCCCCTCCAAAATACCACATCTCCATGGCAACCAATTCTCTTTTCCCCCCAATCTGAACTATTCTCCCCTGTTCCATCAATCGATGTTCCATCCTCCGGTTCCCGATTTTCCTGTACCAGTACCCACCACAGTTCCATCACAATTTTCTAGTACCACTAGACCTGACAAGACTTCTGTCTCTATCGATAAGACCTCCAGTTCAATGAAGCTGGGAAACGTTTCCCCACATATTCCAATTACCCCCTCCCCCAAGTTACCGAAAACTGGCTCACCCAACGTCTTTGTCCCATCTATCATCTTATCAAATGTTATGTCATTGGTCCCAAAAATCGACGAGGTTCGGAATATAGCGACCACAACCAACCTAGATATTATTCATATAATGGAATCTTGGCTTGGTAACCACATCCATGACAATACAGTTAGTATCAGCAATTACACCTTGGTAAGACAAGATAGCCATAGATTGGATAACTTATTACCTTCTCGTAATTTGAACCATTTTAGTCTAAGAATAGAATACAAATTTAATGTTAACTTCCAAACAGAACGGCATAGGAAAACGTTTATTGTGTAATTCATTAAAATTTTAAAATATAATTAAATTTAAAGTATTTATTAGTCTAGTACACCATGTAATAGCGATTGAGGCTTATTTTTGTAATAGTTAACACAATTCAGCCCTTGGGATGCAAAGTTAATTTTAATAAAACTATCTATCTCCCAATGAGGCACAAATACAGCCCAGTGAGGCACAAATACAGCCCAAGTTTCATCAGCAAACAACCAATAGCTGAAATGATCAATATTTCTATTCAAAGTGGTATTTATCCTTCCATTTTAAAGCATGCTAAAGTAATTCCTGTTTTTAAAACAGGGGATGTGACAGAAAGCAACAATTACAGACCCATTTCAGAGGGTCCTGAAGGGGAGGGTCCCAATCCCATTTCTCACCTGAAATTTTGGCAAAATCCCAGTCCCAGTTGGATTTTTATTAGAAATCCCAGTCCGATTTATTGAAATCTCAATCAATAAAAAACCTGTTATTTATCGGTAGAATAAACAGTTTTAAGACCTTTTAAGCCACCCTGTGTGCACACCGTGTGGCATTAGCGGTTGTGTTTTGCCTTTGAGGTATATGCTAAGGGTTAAATGAAGTATATACCGGAAACCAGGCATATATTCCGCTGTGTATCTGACTTGGGGACATGCATAATCAGAAAACCCAGAATTCCGGGCGCCAGAGTATGCCTGTTTGCAGGTAGTGCAGTGAATAATATAGTTAACAACAAAAATCATGACCAAAGACACCAAAAACGGATCAAAATTGTATTTTAAAATACTTAAAACATGGAAAAATTGGGAATCGACTCGCATTACCTCAATCCCATTCCAATTTTTGAGGACTTCATTTCAAATTCCCAGTGGCCAAATCCCAGTCCCAGCAACCCAAATCCCATTTTCCCAGTCAAAAATAGATCAATCCCAGTTCCCATTTTACCCCTTCAGGACCCTCATTTCATTGTTATCTAACTTAACAAGGGCAGATTTCGTGCTCGACCAATCAGCGCATTTGTTTACATTTTCAGTCTCAGCTAATCACAATGCAGGAAACGAGAAATTTACACAAAGGCGAGCCAGAATATATTGCCGTCTTCTCGGGCTTCCGTGACATTCAATTTTAGCCTTTTTAATTTAAAACCAAAAGATTATGATGCAGCACATTAAAATATAAAACTTTGCTGTGGGCATTTTTGAATTTCGACCTAGAATGGAAAATATCCATGTTTGAATCCATGTTTGAAATTTTTCCAAAAAATAATTTACTTGTGGTATATTTATTGATTTGGAAAAAGCGTTTGACCATACAATCTTATTACCTAAACTTCAACATTGTGGATTTAGAGGTTAATCCATGATTGGCTTTCATCACATCTGACAATTAAACAGCTTTCAAACACACAAATTGAATATAATATTTCAACAAAGGAGAAAACACTTTGTAGAGTACCACAAGGATCAGTACTCACTCCTTTGCTTTTTCTAATCTATATAAACGATGTTCACTGTTCCTCAGATAAATTTAATTTTCATTTGTTTGTTGATGATACTAACTTGATATATTCTAATCCTACTGTCGATGCAATGGAAGTGTTGATAAAATAATGCATGAATTCATTTCCAAGTTGATCAATTCATACGAATTCAAATTAATTTTTACTTCCTGTGCATTTCCTATTGGTCAATCGGTTCTGAAACAAAATCTAATTGGCTCATTTAAAAGTAACAGGAAGTTGATCCATTTTCTATCAAATGAATTGGTGCAATATTTTATCAACACTTCTATTGTATCGACAGTAAAACTCTTGAATATATTGTAAGTACTGAATTTGCAAAAGTTTACGATTGGTTACAAGCAAATAAATTAACAATGAATTTTAAGAAATCTAGTTTTGTCATGTTCTATCCTCACCAAAAAAACTTAATCACCAAACAAGTGTAAGAATATTTTACAAAAAAGTTGGAAATTATTTTTTTACTTGAGCGGAAGGAGTATTTAAAATATCTAGGAGTTTTACTTGATGAGCATTTAACTTGGAAACACCATATAGATTATGTAGCATCTAAAATAAGTAAATTTGAAAGAAAATTTGAAATAAGAAAAGTTGGAATTATCGATAGGCTAAGGCATTAAGTCCTTTCCAGGTTATCACAAGCATTTATCAATCTCTTATACTTCCTTATCCAGGAGCGGATCTAGCTTAAAATCTGAGCGTATCATATTCCTAGGTTTCGCGTAACTAGGGGGTAATTTTTGGAAATTTGAACCCCGGAAATGCCATTTGCTGTGTTGTGTCCTAAAATTTGGCCTTAACAAAGTCATATTTTAAACATAAAGTAACACAAATCACACCACTAACCAAAACACTATCTATAAAGTGTTATTTCAAGGACGTCTTTCTCAAATTATGTAAGGCCATCACTCACTCAGTTACGTTTGAAGAATGCAGTTGTTAGCAATATATATATATGAGATTCATTTCACTGGAAGTTTCTGAGCGGTTCACAATTATTTCATTTCTTGCACAACCAAAATACAGCCACAGTATCAGAGGGTATCCGACATCATAGATACACATCCTGTGATTGGCTGGATTGGCAAGGTATCCAAATACCTCATTAAGTTACTATTTTTAGTAACATTTGAATTGCGGACCATATCAGAAAACTGCAGATGCATTTAAAATATTTTCCTGATCGGGTTATGTAACTATGGGTTATGCCTTCTGAAAGCTCATGGCTCATCTTCATCTCGGCTCATCTTCATCTTATCTGTCCTTTTGTATCACTATTTGGGGAAATACTTTAAAAAAACTTCTGATACTTCAAAAACATGTTTTACAAATAATGCACGCTGACAATCGAAATCACACTGCTCCCTTTTTTAAAAATACAACTAATTTGCCAGTGAATATGTTTTATTTTGAATCAGTTTTGAAGTTAATGTATGATGTCAACAATGATTTAGCACCAAAGAATATAACTGATCTCTTTACCCAAGTTGCTACTGTATACTCCTATGGTACTGGAGCTTCAACTGCTGGTAACTATCAAATTAAATACTCTTGTACAACTCTACAAAAAAATGCTTTTTCTAGAGTTGGTGCAAAAATATGTAACTTGGTTCCAAAATATCTTCGTAATCTTAAGAAAGAAGAATTCGCTAAAGAGATGCACACATTACTCCTTAACATTTTGAATAATGAGGGCCAGTGACCTTGAAGTCCCAGTGATTCTGCAGAGAATGTCGGTTTGATTTTATGTGTGATTAAATTTTACTTTTTTATTAGTTAAAGGGTGTGATGAGTTTTGATTGTTTAAAGGCACTATTTGCTTGCCGAATAGTAATTTTATTGCCTCCCGCGTTCTATTTAGATATATAATATAGGCATTTAGCTACATAGTGACCTAGTGCACACGACAGAATATCACAGGAAAAAGTTGTTACATTGCGGGATTTTACTTCACGAAGCAATCGCATGGTAATACATGGGACATATATAGGCACAAGTTGTCTGTGTGTGATTCATTCCTCTGAAGCTGTCATTGGAGCAAGATCTCACATCAGTTTCATCTTTCGATTGCATCAAGAAATTTGTCGGCCTTTATTGCTCAGGTTTTGATATTTGGCCATTTATTTGTTCGCCGCTTACACAACGATTTAAATAGGGGTTTCGATTCACGCGCATAACAAAATTTAACCTGGAAGGATCAAGTGTGTGTGTTTCCTTGCAGGGCACAGGTGGGCACACTGTGGAGAAAGTGAAAAAATATATCTGTGATCTCTAGTTTTAAACCGGATATTATAATTTTGGAAATTGGCACTAATGATTTGTGCTCTCTTCCTCCTGGCTCGCAGATCGAGGAGCTTGCACACTTTTTTCGCAACGAGCTATGAGTTCAGGTTATTGTAGTGTGTCCGGTTACCGATCATAACCTACCACATTCAGCGAAGCCTAATTCATCATTTAATGCCAAAGCTGCTATTTTACAGCAGTATTTAAGCGTGGTGCTGCCAAATGAGCCGCATATATTTCTTTGGGAACACTGTGATTTCGGCAATGTAAATAGTGATGTTAGCTTACTGTCCTTCGATGGGGTGCATTGTAATCGGCAAGGACAGGATAATTTGTACCGATCTTGAAAGCCCTTTACAAAGCTGCATGAATGTTAGCTTGGTATTTTACAATATCATGCATTTTTTTATCTATAGATCATATGGTTATTCTTGCCATTTATGAAGGGCTTTGCATTCTTTGTTACTCATGCCAATAATTTTATTTATGGCTTTATATTCTTTCTTTATACTCATTATGCATTTTGAATATTAATAAAGTCATTATTGACCGTCTTCTCTTCATGCAAACTGGTATGATCGAAGTGCAGCCTAGTCCCAGTCGTTCTGAAGCAAGCGCAAGAAAAAAGTGGATGTAGTACGAGACTGCGACCTAGGTGTGACGTCACCGCTCAAGGTGCTTCAGAACGCCTAGCAGATTTCAGTACTTTTAATATGGCGGAAAATTTATATATACATGTAACCTTT